GGGGAGAGGTAGTGGAGTGTCCCACCGCCCAGAAGAAGAAACTCAACGGAAGACTCAGAGAAGCGAAGTGACAGAATACATAATTCAGTGAATTCTCTCCACAACAATCATTTATGGATAACAACTGAGTGGTCACAAGATTCACAACCCGAAACCAATGGAGAGATGACAACTAAAACACAGTATTAACACTGTTTATTGAACTCAGAGCATCGTTCAACTGAAATAACCTCAGAACCCTGTTGCGCTACCCTCAGAGGGGTAGTGCCACAACCCCAACACCCTGAACAACTAAAAACAGCAACGAAAGTTACGAAACCCCGGCCGCCCCAGATAACACCCAGTGGGTCAGCGCCACCCTGACATCCAACTCAGTGGCCTGCGCGAAAGTGAAACAGGCTCCCATAGCCAATCGGCGATCGCCACTCGGATGATGAAGTAGAAGCTTAGCGCCAACAGTACCTGATGAAGATGAAGTCCGGACGATGATAATCTCTGAGAAGATGCAGCTATGGCTGGATCGCCACTGGGAGTCTGGGAGCCTGGGACCCTACTCTTGAGGAGGGTCAGCAGTGCAGCATGTACTCCAACGCATCAGACCTCTGATAGCCCATACCTCTGGTGTCCCCATCCTATCTATAATCTACATATAGCCTAGACCGACCTAGACCGGATTGACTGACGAGTTTTTTTTTTTTTTTTTTAAGAGGGATGCGCCGCACTCTGCTGCACTGCAATACAGAGGCAACACTGGAGGGCCTAACCCTACCCGGCTATAGGCTATAGGACCGTCTATCAGCATAGGTCCGTAGGGCCTGTCTATCCTAGGGGTAGCCCGGGTGTGTTATTCGCAGTTTGGGTAGCTGTAGGGAAAATGAAGTTGGTACTGGGCCCATATTTCTATATTTACAGATATGTCCATCGTGAATTTTCCATACAGGCAGGTATCTCGGTCAGTCCTCTGCCAAACAAAGAATGATAGAGAGCAGTGAACACACAAAGTGACACAGTCACAAAGTGTTCCTCGACGAATCCTCGCTCTCTGACAGACTCCCGAAAACCAGCGTTGTCGAGCGGGGAACCCCGGGGGCAAAGCCGGTGTTATGCTGCGGACCCCGGACCCCCGCCGCGGGGTTCATCCAACCCCGCCACCGCCGGACGACCCCCGCCGCCGCCCAGCCCCGGGTACCCCGCCGCCTAACCCCGCAGGCCCGCCACCGGCCCCGCAACCCCGCCCCCGCATCGCCCCCGCACCGCA